CAATCACATGACTTTCAAAGTATGCATTCCTTACTGCTGCACTCAAATGGCCTTTAACACATGTCGTTAACATACTGCACTCAAATGGCTGTCAGATTTAGGCCAACAAGTTTGCTTCTCCTTGAAGCTATCGCCGATATAAAAAAGGGAACAAAAAGCCTGAAAACACTACAAAACGATTCGGGATAGTCAAGATAGTATGCACAGCTCCCAGATATTCACTTACCTTAATAGAATAAGGGATCACAGCAAACTTCCTCTCCAGAGCACGAACCTTCTGCAATTTGAGTGTCAAACATGGCACATGAATCCTGGCAAACCGARTGAGGATGAGAAGCAGAACACGGAGGATCGTCCATTGAAAAGGTATCGTCTTCATCTTCAAGAAATATATAAAGATATGTCATTCGTCAAGTCCTTATGATGGCCTTTACAACATATGTGGGTAATTAAGGTATTGTCTATACGACATGAGCGGTGATATACCATGGTAAGGTATAGAATATACAACGTGAGTGGGGGTATACCATGGTAAGGTATGGTCTATACAACATGTGCGATGATATACCATGCTAGGTATGGTCTATACAACATCTGTGATGATATACCATGGTAAGGTATGGTTTATGTAGCATGTGTGATGATATACCATGGTAAGGTATGGTCTATACAACATGCGCGATGATATACCATGGCAAGGTATGGTCTATACAACATCTGTGATGATATACCATGTCTATATAGCATGTGTGATGATATACCATGGTAAAGTAGTCTTTTACTAACCATTGGCCTGTGCCACAGCAACCAGAACGACCAACAAAAGGAAAACTTTGATTCCAGAAGCCATTATTGATAAAATAAATTCCTAAAAGCTGTTGAAGAATAAGAAACTGTTGTGTTAAAAAATTATCTCAGCTGGAAGTATTTTATTGTGATTTCTAATTATCGAAAAATAATTTGGCATTGTTATGGAAATTACATTACAAATAGAATAATTTATCAGTGAATATTGTATGATAATAAGAATAAATGGGTTAAACGGTTTCATAACTGAATATCCAAGAGTTTTCGCTGACTCTATCCGTCAATATTACATGAGAGATGAGGCGGTAAGCCGTGTGGGATGGGCTCGGAAGTCATATAAGAACATGCGTAATAGGTAAATTATTACCGTCAATATTACATCGGTCTGATTAGTAATTTTCAAAAAATCCCAGACTTCTGAAAGTTTTGCCGGAGGTCGCATAAACATTCAAAGCGATCTAACCAAGGGCACTAGGACACCGAATGTGGTTGGATTTCTATAGGTTTTTTTTCCCTTTCGATTATTTGAATTAAATTAAACGTATATACTTGTTTACTTATCTTGTGTCCGTGTTCCTTCGTTCGCTGTTGTAATGCAGACGTTTTCTTCCAAAGGTCAAATGGTTTGAATAGCCTATGAGCGTTACTTCTTTAACGGCCGTTCCGTACTTGATTCTGTTTGTACTATACCTGTATATATTTGATTTAATTCAAATAATCGAAAGGAAAAAAAAACCTATAGAAATCCAACCACATTCGGTGTCCTAGTGCCCTTGAACCAACATGGCGACCATCTTGTTTGACATAAATTCATTCTTTTCGGAATGATCGTAACAGCTATGCTTGGCTCAAATACAGTTTTGTCTCTCTTTAAATAAAATAAAAACGCACAACTGAAAAGCTATAAACAAGAGCTGACTGCTTTTAATATCTCAACAGCCAATTTCCCTGCTCGTAACTATGGGATACTGTTAGCAGGAAAATAGGCAATTAGAATTACTGCCCCAAGGCCAAGGTATTGGATGTTTTGACTCATTAAATTTGCATCGCATAGTTAAAACTTACTTAGGCAAATAATGGGACTCTTCTTTTTTTTCACTCAAGATAGTCACAACTTATATTTCTTATATCGGGGTTCCAATTACTTGCAACAGTCTTAACAAGTGTAAAATTGGGAATGAATTTTAGGATGTCGTTTGAAATTAATTTTGAAAATCTATACTTTTAAGGTTAAGTTATGCATGTTGCTTGGGGTTTGTGAGCTGCGCGTATGTTATGTTGTTATTCAGTTATTCCTCTTATTTTGTTTCCTATACACCTATTTTAAAAAACGTTATCGGTCCTATACCTGAAACGGGCGATCGCGGTCCGAGAGTAAACGGAATTTTTGTGAGTTTTATGTCATTCTGTTTAAAACACACACACACACACACAYACACACACACACACACACACACACACACACACACACACACACACATTTCTTGAAATGTTGTTCACCTGTATATGCTCTTTTACTCCGACGAAGGACTAGCGTCCGAAACGTCAGTTTTTTCATCTTTTCACGGTGTATAATTTACCCTTTTATCATTTTTACTGTTTCATTAAAAACACCGACGCAGCTCACACTAGTTTTTAGCTAGTTATCTCTTCTGTATATATTACAATAGAGGTTTTTCACATCATCCATGTTTGTGGATAGAAACCGATGCAATATTTTTGCATGACAAGAGAATTTATTTCACAAAAAAGAAAACTTCTTGTTTTGCCCTCAAATAGACCATTTCACAGATCCCGCTACTCAACCTCAGCCTCGTCAGCGTGTAATATATTCTTTAGAAATTGCCTACAAACTGTGAAATTTTTAAGTGTTTCAATTGTTTGTTGATGTGTAAATTCCTTTCATTACTGCGGGCTGTAGTCAAATCCTAAAGAATAATTACACGTTGACGAGGCTGAGGTTGAGTAACGGGATCCGTGAAATGGCCTATAAAACATGGCTGCCATGACGTCGCATGAAAAACGTGTTTGCTTGCAGCTTGCTAATCAGACTTGGATTTCAGATTTCAGTTCTCCTACCGACAATTTTTTTGCCTTAAATAGATGTGTTTAATGATGGTTACACTATCAGTAATTTTAGGTTAAGTTATGCATGTTGCCTGGGGTTAAGAAGCTGTATTCATACCAATTATTCATGTCTTTTATTTCGTAATGTATATATATTCATAATTGCATGTTAAGCTAATTGTAGTTACAGCATGGTTTTCAATTAATTTTCCAGTTACAAACGTTTGCTTGCTTGTTTGCTTTATTTTGAGTTTGCATGTTTGCTCGGATTCATTGGAGAGCCAAAACGATTTCAATGGGAGTGACTGTAACACTAGAAAGGCACTCTCGCGTAGCTTACTTTCTTTGTTATTGGTCTTATCGTATCCTTTTCTTTTCTTTTTCAACTCCAAAAAAGCTTAGTGGTTAACTCGAAAGTTTAAACTGATTTATTTATAATGTAAAATTACGTGAATATATGTGTGCAAAATAAATTCAAGTCTCAAGATGGCTTGCCATACCCAACCCAATGTTACCATTGATCTCATGCACTTGCGTTCATATATTTGTTTTATTTGAAAGCTTACAAGTTTGCTTGCTCGATYTTATATTTATATGTAAAGGGATAGTGAAAAAAAAAAAAAAAAAAAAAAAAAAAAAAAAAAAAAAAAGTTTGCAATGCATGACCGTGTCTTCTAGATCACAGAACCAAAATTCTAGAAGCAGGCACCCTAAACCCGTTTACACGTTTTTTTTCGGCAATTGGCAGCGCGATTTCCTCGTGTAAACTACGTCGCCGATGGAACGCCTGGATCGCCACTATTTTGAACACGTTCGAATTTAGTGCGATATTTCGGCGATTTTTTCTGCAAGAATCGCAGTGGATATCGCGCTGCAAATCGCCGAAAAAATCACCTAAGAACTGAACATCAAGTCTGACTTAGCTAAGGGAAAGAATCCACGCGCGAAATTGTCAGCGATAATTTTTCTATGTATCTGATAAATGATCATTAGAGTGCATACCATATATCTGTAAAAAAGTTAAATAAAAAGTTAAATTAAGAAATATAGTACGAATTTTAGTAGCCGGTCTCTTTAACTTACTAATTTGAGGAAATTTGGCGCAATTTCTTCACACCCCGCAAAGTTTTTCACGAATATATGGTAGGCACTCTACGAGGTTGATACTATTACTAATCTAACTACGACTTAATTGCACAGCACATACTTTCATTTGACACGGACGGAAAATTTGAAATCCCACAACGAAAGAAAACTCACAAACCTACCGGACCAAATAGAGGAGTATTCAACTGTCGAAGTTCGAATCGGTTATGATTCGGAGTCATTAGTCACGCTAATAAATACCTATCAAAGGTCCATCATGCCAATCAACGCGTAACAGTTTCTCCATGGAAACATGAATAGTTAGCCGACCGTCACGAGGAAGTTTTGAGGGCAAGAACGGACCTTGACTTCACCCAACATGACGGTAACAAATAAAAAATAGTTTTTAGCTAGCAAAAAATTCCATTTTTTCGTATTGGTTTTGGTCTTAGAGAATTAACGGGGAATTGTAACTGGAACATTGAGAACGGTTGATCGATTTTATAATAGTTCCTTTGAGTAATTAAATTTCTGCATAGGGTGATGGTCAATTACCTCCCGTCGCCACCCCCGACGTGGTTTCGTTGCAAGCTCGCCGCCATCCCACTAAAAAAATACTCAAAGTCACGTTTTACAGATGCAAGAGTTTTAATTCCTTATTAAATGCCTTTACGTCAACTCCAGGTTAAGTTCTAAGTTAAATCTAAATAACGGGATCTAGATCTTACTTGTAGCGCTAAACAGGCGGATTATTCTAAATCAATTAAAAATGTAAATTTAAGCTTGAAAAAAAATTGAATATTTTCCTTGGTATCTCGGTATCCAAGATTCCACTTTAAGGCAACCGATCGTGAATTTCAGTCCACAACTTCATACTTGCTACAAGATAGGAAAAAAAAGAATTAGCATGGTTTTGTTCTGCACGCAAACATCACGTGATGGTGCAAAACCTCTGTCTTGGCTTTACACACAGTACAGTACCTTAGTAATACATTGGGTTACAGCAGACTTCACTTCCAGGGCATTCCCCGTTTTCAGTACCAAAGTCAAACATGCTGCACGCATCCTTACAGACAGAATGAGGTTTGTCTGGGTCACATCCCGAATTTTTTTCATTCTCGAGCTCCTCATCCATCATGGGCCTAGCATCGTATTCTATAAAAGAAAATATCTGATATGTTGATAGATGAGCATTTTTAATTTGCAGCCGGACATGATTGGGACTTCAGAGCAGCGAGTCATCACTAAAAAAATGAAGTTTTGTGGAGAGTCAAATCTTATTTTATTTTGACGTAACCTAGTTACTTGTTAACTAGGAAGGTCATGAATTGTTAATGGAGAAAGGCTACGAGAATTTTTGTAAAGTTTATTGCGAATCCTTCAACCCTCCTTTCCTAATAAAACGCTTTCATATGACCGACGTTTTAAATGTAAATGAGCTTCAAAGTACAATAACGTGATCTTTGTGAGACATACTCGTGGACACGTGTGGACGACCCCTTGCAGCACTTTGGAATGCAGCTCCATCTGGGGGACAAAACAATAGGTTCCAATTCTTAGGAGACTGAAAATCGTTCTTTTGTTTTGTCCCCCAGATCGAGCTGCTTTGATGCCACTTGCAAGGGGTATACATTCTTCGATGAATACCGCTTTCAATTCACGAGTTTAAATCAAAATTAAAAGACAGTTCATTTGATTAGATGCTGGACCAAGAGGCAAGAAGAGGAAGAGCTACAGAGAAGTGGACCGTAGGGGAATGGAACGAGATCGACACGGCTGGAATGGAAACTATAAGGCCCCGTCCACGCGTATCCGAAAAATGTTCGCGTCCACACGCAGAGTATTCGAATCGTTTTCGAATCGTTTTCACTGTCCACACGTATAAGGAAATTTCTTGATCCGCCCTGATGCACGCTAGTGCCTAGTTCCTTTGACGGATAGTTTTTGTTATTGAGCATGCGCAAAATCGTGTTTACGTCAGCGTATTCTAGAATTTGCGGTTACGACCCTCCACACGTATCCGTATTCGGAGCGTATTCGAAAATTTCCACTCTGGAGACCGTTTTCGAAAATTTCCGGATACGGATACAAAAATTTTCGGGCACGTGTGGACGCAACCCGTGTCCGCAAAAAAGAATGTACGGATACAAAAATTTCCGGATACGAGTGGACGTGACCCACCGCCCTCTCCATGGTAGAGGCAACAATTCCATCACCCTTTAATAGTTGCGATAAGCACTTTCTCAAATAACGTAACTCTCATACAATTTAGCCGACCACCCCCCCCCCCCCCCCCCTTCCCGCCATGTGCGAATAAATAAATGCCCCCTTACGTACCTTTCTCATATCTGTGATACTTTCTCGGTTTAGCCATAGCTACGGCAAACAGAACAACTAGCAAAAGAAAAATCTTGATTCCAGAAGCCATGATCTCTCTGTTACTAAATTCACAAGCTGATGAGGGAAAAAATGGAGGAAATAAGAAGTCATAGTGAAGAATTAGATGACGTGTACTATAGCTACCAGAATGACGGCGCTCCGGAGCATGCCGGAGCAAGGCGTTTGTATTTTGTATTCACGAGGTATTATATTTTTATTATTATGTTTAATTTGCGGGACAGTTCGATTACTTAATTTATGCTATGTCTTCAGATGTTTTCTAGTTTTCGCTCGATCTCATTTTGATCTGCTTGTGATTCGCCTCATGCAGTGCAACTGTGATATGCAAATGATGACCTTAACTTCACGCCTCTAGAATCTATACTAGAATCTACACTAGAATTCTGTACTAGATCTACTATGTACACTAGAATCTACAATAGAATCTATACTAGAATATATACTAGAATCTACTATCTACACTAGAATCTACACTGGAATCTACACTAGAATCTATACTAGAATCTACACTAGAATATAGACTAGATCTACTATTTACACTAGAATCTACACTAGAATCTATACTAGAATCTAGACTAGAATCTATACTAGATCTACTATCTACACTAGAATCTATACTAGAATCTAGACTAGAATCCATATACAGGGGCGGCGGAAGCGGGGGGGCCGGGGGGGCACTGGCCCCCCCACTAGATTTTTTTGGGGGGCCTGGCCCCCCCAGAATATAATGCCTCACACAAAAAAAAAAACGCATGAGATTTGGTTATGATTACCATTGTTTATTATTTTGATATTACATAATTTTCTGTATCTAAAAAATATACGATATATCTAGCGACGACTTGCATCATTTTTGTGTCTCTCAGCACAATTGCAAGTGGTTTAATGCGCGCGAAATGTTACTGATTGAAATATCACACATACACGTTTGTAATCAAGCTAAACAGGGGGGGGGGGTCATTTCAAGGTACCGTGAAATATTGGAGTGCCCCCCAAAAATTTTTCAGCTTCCGCCGCCCCTGATATACTAGATCTACTATCTACACTAGAATCTAGACTAGAATCCATATACTAGATCTACTATCTACACTAGAATCTACACTAGAATCTATAGCTGTAACTAAACTTATTTTGTATTCACTTGCATTGAGCGTTTTATGAATAAAAGTAGTTTATTGTTTGTTTTTGATGAGTCAACAATTTGACAGGGAACAAGAAGGTCAAGTCCAAAAAGTTGAAACTTTGTTTGTACTGATGAGCAATGAAGCATGCTTACAAGAACAAAATAGACTTCGTGATACCTTGCGAGCAGAGTCGAGGAGTTAAAAGGAGACTCTGCTCGAAGGGTAACTTCGTGAATGAGTTATTCATGAAAACAAACCGCCTTGAGACCGTGTGGTGAAAGTTTTTAAAATTCATCATCTCGATAAACTCTCCGTTATATGATGGGGTCAAATCTTTCTAGAAGAGTACAATATAGATCTCGCATATCTACGAGATTGAAATAAAATGAAATTTCTTGATGCGCAGCATCTATGTTTCTGAACCCGACAACGATTCTTCAATTGAGTGTATGCCACAGTAATTAAAACCGACTAGCATTTCTTTCAAGAGTTTCTCATTATTGTTGAAAAGTATAGAAACTTAATATATGGTATTGTTTACTATCAATCACGTGACTTTTTGGAGTTGACTGGGCCAGGGGGCAAACAAGCGGTTGACTAGGGGGCAACTAGCGGATGCTAAGTCAAAACATGTCAAAATAAGTCCTCAAACTATTGTATTTGACTATTTTCACGACATCAAACCAGAAAACAATAGATCAAAACAACCTCCAGGATTCTACAAGCCATCAAAATAGAGCTATTACCGGAAGTGACGTCTATTGATAGCAACCTATAGCTTGTATCTTATACAAACAATAGATAAGCTTTTTGTCATGGTTGTGCGCTCAACAAAATCCAAGAACATCCGAAGAAGAAAAGAATATTTTGGAGCTGGCACACAAACAAGTTTTGGATTTTTTGGCTTGAAAAAAAMCCCTTTTTTTATTTTATTTATTTATTTAACCATATATTTTCTCATTGTTAACTCCAAGAGCCTGATAAAGGCTCATCTAGGGAGATCATAATGTAGTTTATATTGTACAATGATTTACGGAGTACAAATAGGAAGAAAACAAAAAGTAAGATAATAGTACGAATATATCAAATCAGAAGAATATTAAATATATTAAATTACAATTTAGTTTATGATAACGAGTACACAATATCAATTACTGAACACACAAACGCACACACCCACACAAATTCAGAACCTCTTTGTATTTTTTATATAGCTTTGAACCAGCCTGAATRAAGATTGCAGTTGTCCCGCCATAAGTATGATCGACAGAGTGAATTCAATGGCGCACTTGAAGAATGCGTTTTTCTCGAAAATGCTCTGATGAAAACCCGCGGGATGTTGAGAGAACACGAGAGGAAACCACGACGCGTAGCGGAAAAACATGGTTTTCGACCAATTATAGCGCGCGTAGTATCCCAATTATTTTATAAATGTTGTTCTCTACTTTTCCTCTAAGGTTTTTCCATGTATAAATAGATTATGAGAATTGAAACCTGTGCGCTTGAAACGTTAGAATGTAGTCGTTACCGTGGGCGTATGCAGATTAAGCGTCACCCTGTAGATTTGCTGCTCCAAAGGTATCAATCAAATAAGGAGATGAAAGGCCCTAATTTCCTTACAAATGTTTAGTTTGTTTGGTGATGTTTAGTGCATTTTCGACCCTTTACTTCCCAGTAAACGTAAAGTAGAATTCCATATTTAAAAATATAACGGAAAAGTAAACTTACCGCACGTACGTACCAATATACAGTAGTCTCAACAGCTGGAGCTTGAATGAGTTATAAGCGTTGCTTCAACTGGCATTAAATAAATCCGTTCTAAACCATCGACCAATCAAAATTAAGCGTCGGCAGTTGAATTTGTTGTTAACAATAGAATAGTCCCCTTCACGGTTCCCTGCGCCATCTTGAAAGGTAGCGCAGGGAGCTGTGAAGGATACTTTTTCCCAGCGAGGTCGGAAATTAATTTTTCCGAATTTAATTCCAAGGGCTTTCGCCCGGAATAACCTCGTTCCCAAGCACTACAACTTACCTATATTATCTTCTACTCTGATACTTTTTACAGTTCACTAACCAATTTCTATGTCATGTTGGATAACCGTTTATTTAAGACTCAATTATCAAGGGAATTGTTATAAAAGACGCTATCATTATTTAAATTTGTATAGGTTATGCCACCTTAGTTCTTGAAGAATTAATGAAAAATACCAAGTGTATTTGATGAAATGGAGGTTTGGTATACACTCAATTGAAGAATCGTTGTCGGATTCAGAAACATACCGTGCGTAAAGCAAAGTGCGTATAGCAAAATGACATAAAATAAAACAAGAAGAGATAACTAGCTAAAAACTAGTGTGAGCTGCGTCGGTGTTTCTAATGAAACAGTAATGATAAAAAGGTAAACGTGTGTGCGTGCAAATGTTCGATGGTACGGATTAAGAGAAAATTTAGAGTAGAGTGGTTTTCAAAAACCCGTGAAATACACTTTAATACACACTTTATTGTCCGCATTTTCTTTTGATTTTCTTTCGTGTTTTCGGTGTATTACAATTTATTACACCTTAGTTATTACACTTTGTTTCACGGGTTTTTGAAAACCACTCTATATAAACCAAACATGTAATATTAGTTTTGAAACTTTAACATTATACATTTTAAGAGATTTAAAGTGTTAAAATGAACTGATTTTCCTCAACTGAGCGCGAAAAAATGTATGATAATCAGAAAATTCGCTGAGCAGTTATGATCTATTGTTTCAATTTTAGGCGCAAAAAAACTGCTTTTAAATAATATTATACCTTAAATAAGCAAAAATATTCACATAATTATTTTGCTAAACTTCATCATTTTCAGCTAAAATACGGCAACAAAAAATCGTGTTTCTCTCTTCCTTATATTATAATAATAATATAACGTACCACTACAGTAATGTTCTTGGAAAAAAGTTATCCATAATCAAACATACTGCTGCTTACAATTTAAATATAATTTTGAGCGGGAAAGGTATACTCTGTAGAAAAAACCCGTAACCCGGACAAGAGGCGGGTTATTTTGCATTGAAGATTTGTACAAAATTGACAAGTCTTGGAAAGGAAAGTATGTAGTGGTTTTACTTAAACCGTAAAATAGTTATATATAGCGGCCACTTGAGTGAATACCAATGATATATCCTATCTACTGAAGTTCAGTAGGCCTGTACAATTTTGTTACGGTAAACTTTTAGGCTATATAGTGGCTGGCATATTTTCATAGTTTTTACATCGCTAATGGACTCGTGTATTTATTTCTTTGTTCAGAACAACAAGTCAACAAACATGTCTTGTCATAATTTTAAGCGGGAAAGAAATTCGTAGAATAAAATCTGTTACGCTTGCTCGGACAAGAGGCGACAAACTATTTCTTTATTATTGCTTTCTTTGTTCTGGACTACAAGTGAATAGATTATCATAAGAGTAAATGGTTATGATTAATAGTATTTGCTTTACCACTTCTTTCGAAGTTCGTGCAAACTTGAGTTTATGCGATATGCATCGCTGAAGCTTTGAGTGCTGTCATGAGAGAATGGATGGTTTTTCAGGCCCCGTCCACACGTATCCGCAAATTTGTGTATCCGCAAATTTTTTCTTGCGGATACGGGTTGCGTCCACACGTGTCCGGAAATTTTTGTGTCCGTATCCGCAAATTTTACGAAAACGGATACGTGTGGACGGTGAAAACGATTCGAATACGCTGCGTGTGGACGCAAACATTTTCGTATCCGCAAAAAATAATTTGCGGATACAAAAATTTGCGGATACGTGTGGACGGGGCCTTAAAATTGCAACGAAAAAATTAAAGTTAAATTAAGGGTTTTTTCATGTATTGCATTATTACAAATGAGTTTGAATGACTGATGATTTTTCTTCATAAACACTGAAGTGAACTTGCACCTCTGCAGTTTCTGTCTTGGATATTTTTCTAAACCCTTTTCTTGTAAACCTTGCTCTGTCAGGGTTTGCGTTACTAGGTACAAAGAACGACTTGCTCCTCCCGATAGCGTTGTTATTATTATATCGCGTAGTTTGAGGAAACGGTTGTGGAGCTCCTGCTCTTAACAGAATTTCCTGCTTAACATCAGCAACGTTGTGCCTTTGCAGTGGGTTTACGTCACGCCGAGGCCACGTACCGAGATGAGAAGCACTTCTAGACACTGGCTTTCTTGTTTTAGATTTGGCATTTTCATCGTGCTTCGTCTTTAAACACACCATAGGTGCATCAGTAGCAACTTCACTTTTTGAGATCAGCGTCAAATCCGGGGTACTTTCCTTCTCAGGTGTAGAACCCGTACTGCTTTGCGCGGGCTCTTTCGAGGACTGACTCGCTAGACAACATTCTATGTCTTCAATCTCCTCGACCACCCCAGAGAATCGAACATCCTTGATCCCTGGTCTTCGTTTTTTAGCAGGTTGTTCTTGTGGCACAACTGAAGGATATTCGCCATAAATTAACTCTCTGTTCCAGTACTCAGCTCCACGTCTCCAAGACGGCGTACAAGGGTCAAAGAATCCTCTATTGGCAGAAAAGGCTTCTGGAGTGATGATGATATTGAACTTCTCTGGTGCCTTCTCTGGGGTGTTATCTGTGGATTTCTTCATACAAAATAAGCCTCTAAACTCATCCTTGAATTTCTTACTTATAATATAATGGCAAACGGGATTCATTAAGCAAGGCAAGCAGCTAATCAAATGGTATACAAAAACAGCAAAGGAACTGCTCTTTAAGTTGAAGATATTGAATAAAGGGTACAATAACAAGGGAGCAGTGCAAATGAAGAAAAAAATTGAGAGGATAAGAAAGACTTTAGTGATTTTTTGGTTGTAATACAGGAGGGTTTTACGCTTGGAGGGGTCTTGGAGTTCAGTCTTTGTCTTTTGGAGATTTTTAAGGTGGAGAATAATCTCTACGATTAAAGGAAAAAGGTAAAAAATCACGATGACAAGAACAGAATACACGAGAAATGCCACCTTATGAAATCGGCCCGCAATCACGAAAGGAACGCCAGCGTTTATCACCAAGGAGACGATCCATGTTGCTAGGAAACATTTTAACGTGACGTGAGGGGTTTGATGGAACTTATAGCATGATGCTGGCTTGAAGGCGGCGAGGTACCAGTTATAACCAATCAGGAAAAAGGTGCATGCTGGCACCATCCTGAGAACGGATTGCACGGTAATCAACACCGTGGATGCAATATCAGGCATTGTAATCTGCATGTATCGTAATATTACATACACAGAGGTGTAGACGACGTATAATATGCCGACGAAGCTGATGAACGTTACCAACATTGTGCTGAGATCTCGAAACGCTGTGCTCCGGCAGACAATGAACAAGAGAAAGATGTTGGCCACCAGGGAGGGAACGACGATGCCGCAGTAGATGCTTGTCGTTACGTGGAATTTAGTAGACATTTCGTAGGGTATAAACACTGGTTCTGGCTCCATGCTTGGGGAAAGCCTGAAACGAAAGAACAAATGTTCTTTAGACATGTTTTCGATTAAGTTGCATACAGACATCGTTGCGCATGCGCGGTTGTTCTTTTATTGCGCGTCTTGGACGCAACAGTCAACGATTTATATATTTATTTATTTTAATGAAATAAAATTACTTCGACTGAATTCGGCTGAATTGTTCTTTCTTCAAAATATATAAGATAAGCAATGAATATACGAAATATGATTTCTTTACATATAATATGGCCCGCGTTGTTGGTCCCTAACTATTCTTCTTTTCGGCCTATCCGATGAATTAATTTTCATATTTACTCAGAACAACCACCTAGTTTTATCAATGATCAGTAGAATATTTGACCATGATCATAAAATATTTGACCATAGCAAAAACTGAATTAAGAAACTTGAACTAGATCGTTATTAAATTATAAGGTCATGGTCCAAATTTACCGCGACAAAAAATTTACCAAATCAACTCTAAAGATTTTTTCTTTTTACCAAAAGAAATATTTCAGCACTTCATTTGAACTTTTTATACTCATAAATATATGTAAACAGAAAAATACAAAACTTACCTAATAAGTCCGAGTTCCAGTCAATTGGACGCGACGCAGAATAGTTCGAAATAGGAGATTTTTTCTGGAATAAATTCTCGTCGTGGTTTATTGCTGAGCGGCATACAAGAAGGAAGTGGTTCTTTATCATACCGAAATGACGTAGACCATATGTCACACTGTAAGAATTCCTCTCAGTTTGAAATAGCCAATCAGGTGATGTCTTTAATTCTATCACGTGGCCAGCCAATCAAACTTGCTAGAATTAGCCAATCAGGGTCGGCTTTGAAACTGCCATGTGTATTTATTTATTTCAGCCAAGCAGTTTAATTATGAAGTTATCATTTGGCTTGTCACTAGTTGAAAAGAACTAGAAAAAAATCAGTCCAAGTGATAAACCAAAAAAAATTTCATATTCAATTTCCTATCTACAAATACACTTATCATAAATCAATTTAATTGATTAAAGGATTTGATTAAATTTGTCACATTTCAAAAACCAAATATCAACTTTATTCTTTATCTTTATTTTTATAAAAACGTTTTATTTTGTTATTTATATATATTTGTTTCCATAACAACGCCTATACGATAAATCCTCTTTGGAGAGGGAAGAGGAAGAGCAATACCATTAATAAAACGTTTTTTTTTTCATTGGTATTTTTACATACAACTTTGGTACATTTGATCACCTGTACCTACAGTGAAAGAATCAGTCTCTTCCTTCCCCTTGAAGGAGTAATTGAGATTTCCTTTGAAACATGGGTTATATTGACCTCTCTAACATTAACAAAAACAGTCTATTTATACATATATGTATTAAACTGTGTTATACCAATACAGAACAGTAGAGTGCAAACAATATATCCGTGAAACAGTAATTACTAAATTGTTCAAAATAGTACTAGTTAAACAAAAGAAAACAATAGAATTAGCATAAAATAGTGTAAGTAAGTATTACTAATATTTCACGGATATATTGCTTGCACTCTAACAAAAATGGTACGTACGACTAATTTATTAGTAAATACCAATCCATACTAAAACTGTTGAAACTCCCCTAATTATTTACTAGACTTCTTAGGGACAGTTAAGTACAGGGGCCGCTCCAGGGGAGGGCGTCCCTAGTCGCACAAAACACCTGCCAATATCAAGCTACCTCTTTTTTATCGTACATATATGTTTTCTTTTTTTTAAGATTTCTGTTTTCAAATCTTTGGTTCAACTCAAGATTAAATTGAATAAGATTTAATTAAAAAATAAATCTAAGAACAAATGAAATAAGTCAGATCAGAATTACTGATGATGTCATTATATTGATGCTTTTTTTCATTTTGGACACCCCCTTTGAAAATGTCAGGATCCTCTCTTGAAATACCTTTCGATAGATCAACCCCCACTACTCTTATCACTCCTACCCCCCTAATTCAATGCCGTATCAGTAGAAGGTGCACCCCTCAATCATCTCAACACTGTGTAGTTCCAAAAATTATCCATACTCCCCTCACAGAGCAATGTTTTTTAGACATCCCCCCTACCCCCCAGAAATTACAATTTTCTTCCATACAAACTCTGGACTTTTAGTTCTTTCTCTGACCTCCCCACTCTTCGGAAATTCCAATTCCCTCTGTGGGGTGGGTATGGATAATTTCTGGAACTACACATTGCAAGGGGGGGGGAGGAAGTGTTATATGTGGTGTTGTGTTTGAATGGGGAGGGTATAAGTGGGTATGAGTCTTAACTAGTTTTGGCATGGCTTGTAGCTCTCCTAATAAACAGAAGCATACAATTGATAAATAACTACATTCTCTCTACAAAAGGTAAATATTTGAAATATTTTGGTAGGGAGATTTAACAACTTCATCAGGACTGATTAACTAACCCTAACCATAATCTTTTACATACTCTTGTGGTTTGCAATATATTTTGATTTTTAACTTTGTCATATAAAATAACAAACAAATAACAAAACTGGTTCTAAACTAATATTTTAAAACTCAATGTTTAACTGAAGTTTACATTTACCAACAACCAACTCAACTCTTTACAGCTATTTCAAAATAGGTTGGTGAAGATTTTATAAACTGCATGTTACATGCATACTATGCCTGAAATACACTATGGTCAATGTGAATGCAATCAGCAAAAGGTCACAAATATATAGAATTTTCCCAAACTTTGTATGCAAGTGTTTTTCTTGTGCTGACAATATTTAAACATGGTCAACATGCAACCAAACCTTCATCAACCTTTCTTAAAATAGCTGTAGACACACAAAGTTGAGGCATTATGTATTTTATAATATATTTTTATGATATATAAATTTTTACAGTTCTATCTTCTAGGTAAAAAAGTTTTTAATACAAAAGGCTTTTTTTTCATCTTAGGATGTCATTGCACTCATCGGAGATCCTTCCGGAGTTTCCAGTTCCATGGCAGTCTTAACGACTCTGCGGCTGGTTTCTAGTAGAGAGCTTTGGTTTTTAAAGTTTTCTTCGATAACGCTGGAATAAAAATCAACCTTTGGTGTTTTCTGCTTGGGTTGTCTAAGCACTTGTGGGGATGTTTTGGCCATTTCACTTACTTTCAGCACAGCAACCTGGAGTTTGGAATTTTCTTGAGGTTTTAGTTTATCTTGATTGTGGGGTTCTGGAACATGCTTTGGATTGTGCAAGAGTTCTTCATTCTCTGTATTACATGACTGATCTTTCTTGGGTTTCAGGTGTTTAGCAAATATCCTGGTTGACTGCTTGCAAATGTTACTAAACTCCTGACCTGCAAAGCTTTGTAGTGCTTCCAGTTTGGCTTTTTCTAGTCTGGTCAGCTTTTTTTGTGCAACATTTTTACCATGATTGTCATCAATGCTGTTAGCTTGATAACTCTTGGGTGTAATATTTGACACATTGTCAGCTGTGGTTTCCATAGCAATTCCAGCATTAACTATGAACTTCTCATGGTTCTGGCTCAACTTTTGGTCAACATTTTCCTCGCACAAGGCATCTCTACCAGAGACTTCCACTTGTGTGCCATTACCACATTTAAGTGCTTCCATCTTTTCACTTTGAGATCTTGTTAATCTCTTGGGAGTGGTGGTATCTCCAGTAGACCTTATCTCAGTGACAACAGAGTCCTTTTCTGATGCTCTGGAAGGTTTTAAAATAGATTTAGTGCCTGGCAAATGACTTTTAAATCTACCAGCCTTCTTAATGTCACTTGGCTTGGACTCCTTTTTGCCTTCTAGTATCCTTTTTTCCATTTTTTCCTTTTCGAGCTTGCTTCTCTTTGGAGGAATTTTATCAAGGGAAATATTCTCAAAGGCCTTCTCAGCTTCTTGTTTTGCTTTCTGGATTCTTGTCAGATTCTGTTTCTTGGAGTTTTCATGTTGATTTGCATCGTTTTGCATCTTTCGTTTCCTTGGATTTTTTACCATCTGGCCAAGTTTGACATTTTCAAATGCAGTAGCAGCTTCAATCCTTGCTTTCTCCATCCTTTTTATGCATAAAAGTTTTACTTCAGCTTAGGCTAACTTATTTTTTAAAGAAATAATCTACTAGCTTTAGCTGTTGTATCACAGCGTGGGACAATCACAACACAGCTAGGCTCCAAACTAGGTGAAAGCCCAAAGATTGAATTAGAATTTAGAAGCTGATTTTTGAAGAGGGAGGAAAACTGGAGAACCCGGAGAAAAACCCTTGAAGCACAGGAGAGAACAAACAAACAACTCTACTCACATACGACATCGAGATCGGCAGGACTCGAACTCTTGCCGCATTGGTGAGGCGGMGCATTAGCAGCGCACGCCACCAGTGCTTCCCAAATACTGGACAACATTATGACAGTTACATGTATTTCAGAACAAGAGAAGTTTCTTTGTTATTTTATTCAAACACAAACCTTGTTCTACTGGTAGGTGATTTCCCCAGGGGTGGCAAGTCGGGAGTCACTAGCCACCTAATTCATGTACCTCCTCTTTTGCACAAAAATAAGCAATGTTTTCAAACTAAAAATAAYATCCTCCTGATAAACTTTCAATGGGTTTTGGATTTTGCAAAATTCATTTCAGTCATTTTTGAATGCCAATTTTTCAGCATTTTCTCACATTGGGCTTCCTGTGGTATTTGTGTGAGTCACCCTGGAACTGTTTCCCTTTTTAACAAAAATCCTGCAATATTTAGACTCAAAAATGAAAACATAAAACATACCTGGTTAAGGTTCTAGTATTGGCTGTCTTGCTATTAACACTTGGTGTAACAGATTTCAATTTTGAGCTCAAGTCTGTCTTCTTGAATGACAATGAATCAAGTCCCTCGTTCCCAAATGCTGCTAATGCTTCAAGGCRGGCTCTTTCAACCTGAGATGGATGTATAGGTAATAACAAATAATATATATTTTATCATATATATCGTTTTATAATAATTGTTAATTTTATCTCATTTCATCCCTCTTCCTCACTGAATTATAATACCATTGTTTTTGTACTTTAGGACAACTCTCCTGTTTTTACGATCACTATCACACATCACTATAGTCTTTCATTCATTCATTCATTTATTCCTTCCTTCCTTTATTCATTCCTTTATTATTTTATTTTATTTGCTATACTAGCTGATACATCAACATATTCTATGTTACATATTAAAATATATTTCAGTTGGCATTAGTTGGTGTTTACAAACATTAGCATTGTGAAATGATGTTAATTTGCTATTTATTATCGCTTGCCAAGTTGCTTTGTTCCATCAGCGAATTGATTTCTGATTTGCACAGTAAAGACAATATAGCTTACAACAGTAGTAATGTCGGTGTTGCGACACAAGTTGCATGGAGCATTGCAAAAATCCTTGCCAAAGGTAGAATTCGTTTTTGACAAGGATTGCATCTCTGTTGCACCATGAAAACACTCTTGCAACTTGTCTCGCAACGCTGTTGTAAAACAAGTTGCAGAGAAAATAAATAGTTCCAAGTAATCGYGCCTTCAATGACAAAGGAAATATGGTCGGATATGACAGAGAACTCACTATAGCTGGTAGCCAATATCTGCTGCCCTATGGTTTGAGCAAGGTTTGAATGGCTCCTGGATCGACCTCTAAGAACACTTACCATTGTTAATCTCTTAGTTGTAGTAGAAGATGATGAACTCAAGTTCACATTGTCCTGAACAGGCTTCAAGACACTTGAATCTATCAAACGAAAGTTAAATTTTCGATTACAAAATTAAAAAGAACAAATAACTTAAGCCCTTAATGACCCAAATGATCGAAATACAAGTGGAAAAGGTTTCGTAAAAATGCTACAAGTTAAAAGTTTGGGCAAGGAATTAAAGAAAGAAAACAGTATGAATTTGAGTTCTGCAGGACTAAAGAGGATGACAACTGGGAATAAATAAATCTTACAAGTGATAAAAAGAATAGAAAAGAGGATATAAATTTGATATGCTATAAAAAACAAAATGAATGATTCCTCAGGCTATCAGACGAGTACTTGCATTTTGCTCACCTCTAGACAATGCTGGAGCTGCCATTTTCACACCAACTTTACAATGAAGCTTACTCTTCTAAATAGCAGAGAGTCTAATGTTATACCTGCTTTTGATCGTTATATTATTTTTTAACCTTTTTATTAACGAGAATAAAAAATTCGTTGTTTTGATGAAGTTCGAGTTTCCCTCCAAAATACCGCAAGGAATCCTGGGAAATATATCAGCGCGCTTGCGCACGGAATAAAACTGCTAGCTAAAACACCACTGGCTCTTTTGATGAGAAAATTTAAAAAACGAATAAATAGCTTTAAAAATGGTATTAAACGAAATCTTAGAATTCTCTTTAGGTTATTTTATTCAATAACAGTGAAATTATCGCACGAAAGTTTTATAAAAAGGAGATATTTATTTTATTTTGTGGTGGGGGAAAATCCACAGGCAGCCCAGGAGGAGTGCCCATTCCGTACTTCAGTCCAAATTGCTTTCTATGATCTCTGGAAGTACGTTTATAGATCTCTGTAAAAATTGAGCTTTAGAATTCAGATTCCCCAAAAGTATACCAAGAACTGAGCTCTTATTTGAGTATAGCTTATATCTAGGGAAACATTTCAAGTCTAGTAGATGGCGATGTCAGCCGACAAGGAAGACAAAGTTGATCAAGTTGGCCAAACTTGTTTGTCACTTTTCACTTCAAATCATGGTAGCCATGACTCTATTTGGATTACCAGAGGATCAGCGTTTAAGATTTTATGCATTGCTTGTCTGATAGAAGCATTAGAAGACAAAGAAGTATTAGTAATACGAAAGAAAAAAATCCTTAGCGAAATTCTTGTGCTGGTGTCCAGAGATGACAAGATGGCTGCCGTCCTGTCGACAAACTTTAGAGTTTGTTCTCATTTGTGTGGAATCCTTGTAAATCTTCTTGAGATGGACAATGACACAGTTTGTGAAATGGCTATTGAAGGACTTGTACAGCTGACTTGCAAGCTCCGAAATGAAGTAATAGTAAGAGAAATAGTTGATAATGCCGAGAAAAAAATATCTGGGATAAACAATATACGAAAGTCGTGTGCTTACATTACGTTGCTTGGAAAGCTAGTGAGYACGATTGCCCCACTTGGCGAGGAGATACTTATTCGAAAATCTAAATTACTGCAATACTGTATTTCTAACTTGTTATTCCCTGATGAAACACCGAGGATTTCTCTGATGTACCTGGTGCTTGGGATCTGTCAAAACGACACTACAAAATCCAAGCTCTCGCCTGAGAACAGAAATACCATTTTCAAAAGTGTTTGCGAGAGCTTAGCCGATATAAAACAGAAAGCTGTCATTGTGAATTCTCTGGCACTACTTCAAAGTTTTACGAATCCCGAAGACGTTGAAGCGCTTGGACTTTTAGACGGAAATAAGGATGGACAAGACAGGAGAGGTTTACTTGGCAAGGCTTTGAAGAAAGTCATCTTAGATACAGACGAAAACATCCAAATTGGAGGAATACAGTGTACGACGAGGTTTCTCAGGTTTGATTCAAAGGAATGCCTTCTTTCACGAGGATTACTTCAATGTGGTCTGGGCGAGTTTTTATTCGAGGGTTTAGGGACCAATAATGATGTAGTCTTAGCATCATTGTTCTGCTGTCTATCTGGATTTTGCAATTTTACTGAATTCTTCAAAGGTAGTTATTCTGTGTATGGTACTGAGTCTCTTGTCTCTGGAATGTACAAGGCGTTGAAACTGCAGAAYCCAGAGACGATCCACCAAGGTCTACATGTGCTTTCTACAATTATCACAAAACAGCCAAGGGGCGTGCCTCTTTTCAGCAATGGGGCCATATTTGAGAGATGCTTGAACGCAATCCAAGAATGTTTCAACTCAATGGAATACAAAGTTCTACAAGAAGCCATAAACGTCGTTGGGAGTCTTCTGAGGTTAGATCAAATTCCATCTGGATTTGATATAAGAGGAATGTTGCCTTCTCTTTCAGCTGTCATCTCCTTGATTAAGACGTTTACTACTAAGAATGTTGATTCATTTAGTGGCATGAAAGCAGGTAACTCCATACATTAGTAGATGAGGGTCTAGCTAATAAGCCCCCTAGGGAGGGGGAGGAGAGGGGAGGGAGGGGAGGAGAGGGGAGGGAGGGGAGGG